TCTGTTAATAACTACAGCCCGGCCTCAGTCATGTGCTTCCTGTATGACCAAACAATTGCCAAGTGTAAGTGGTGGCCAGAAATTTACGGGGGCTGCGCATACAGCTGGTACAGAATGCACAACATCGGTCCTTCTACCCAAATACTTATAGATGATCCCTGGCACCCCAGATGGGTGCAGGGAGTCCAAGGAGTTTTCTACAACTGGTACCGGGACTCCAGACTATCAGGTAAAGTTCACATCTATTGGTCATACCGCTATGTATTCCCTTCTCTTGGCAATATTCCCGACCTTCTTGCAAAAGCAGAATCCTCTTTAAATGGCCAGCTCCCGCCCCCAAGTGCCACCCACCCCTCTCCATTCTCTTGGCTCCGTTTAATACAGCAGGGGGTCATCCTGCTCAACCACTCTTCAGTTGGCAATGTGAGTAACTGCTTCCTTTGTGCCACTCTAGGCCGCTCTCCTTTGGCGGCGGTACCCGTCATTCAATCATTTAATGCCTCTAGTAAGTCAGGCGACCAGCCTCTCTCTATCCCTGGAGTCCCTTTGTTCCAGTCTCTCAGTAACCTTTCTAATACCTGTTATGGCAGCTCCTGCACATGCAACAACTCCAAGCCTACACTATCTACTCTATCTGCCCCAAGGGGTGGGTTCTTTTGGTGTAACGGCACCCTCTTCAAATCCATTAATAGTTCTTACCCTTGTTGCTACTCGGTAACACTTATTCCGCAGCTTACCTTTTATTCTGAGGAAGAGCTCTTGCTCAAAGCCTTTCCTGCTCCCCATCGCGCTTGCCGTGCGGCGTTTCTCCCCCTCATGTTTGGTCTCACATTTGCCACGTCCTTGGCAGCTGGAGGACTGCGGGGAGGGGCGCTGGGACATAGCCTTCTCTCTTCCTGGGAGCTGGAGGAAAAGCTCCAAACAGCCCTGGAAGTATCCGCAAGTTCCCTGGCATCCCTGCAGCGACAAATAACCTCTCTAGCCCGGGTGACTTGGCAGAACTGCAGAGTCCTTGATCTCCTCACAGCAGGTCAGGGTGGAACCTGCATGTTTCTCCATGAAGAGTGCTGTTTCTACGTTAACGAAACCGGACTAGCGGAAGAAAATGTTGACGTTCTCCGAAAGCTGGGGGACAAACTTTGCCCAAAAACCGCCGCCGATGCACCCTTCTCTACCTGGTGGAATTCGGGCATCGCCCAATGGGTCTTGCCGTTCTTGGGACCTGTTCTAGTTGTCTGCCTCTTACTTATGGTCGCCCCCTGTCTGTTTAATTTTTTGCAGGCCCGCAGGAAAGAAGTCTCCCAAGTTGCAGTCAACCAGCTGCTTCTGCACCCCTACATCCCACTTCCCTCCGAGCCACCCGGTCCCGACCTCCCATAAACAACGGCCCCCTTCAGCTCGAAGCAGCCAGATCGAGTCGGTGCCCCTTATACCAAAAAGGTCGGGATGCTAGGCTTGGCGGGAATTAACAACCAGACTTGCCCTTCCCCCGCCGCTGTTTGTTCACCTCACCCCAAACCCACGTCTGATGATTTGCCCGAAACCCTCTGAAACTTGTTGCCCACGGCCAACGGGCCCGAGAATGGGGCCAAACAGGGACTTTCCACCCCAACCCGATGCCCCTGCCAACAGCCCCCGGCAACAGCAACGCTAAGCCCCCCACAGTTGGATGCCTCGCCACCCCACCCCACCGCTGTCCTGCGTGCAGACCCAGACACATCACCCTTAAAAACCCAAGCCGCCCTTTCTTGGGCGCGACTCCCCTGGCCCATCTTTCCAGACCACGGGACGTCGCCCGGGAGCTCCCCCGCCAATAAAACGCTTGGTTTATACCAGCCCCTTGTCCTGTGCCTCTTTAGGTGTTTCCAAACGTTACAAGGATCGCTTGAGGCTAGGGGTTAGAGACCAGCCTGGGCCATCTAGCGAGACTCTGTTTACTAAAAAAATTTTAAGTAAATTAAAATAAAAGAAAAATTATGTTTTTAATCTCATGTTATAGGCTCTCAGGCTCAGAGAAAGAAATGAAGAGCTTGCATTGCACTCAATACTATCATGAAGAATCTTTAAGAGCAACTGGCTTCAAGGTACATCTAAATTATGATGCGCAAGTATGATGTACTCTCTCCTCACCCAGGCCTCCTAAGGCCATCTGCTCCGTCTAAAACAGCAGCCTCATCGCCTCTGCTCCCTCACCCTGCTTCCTTTTTCCGGCCACCTGACGTGTATCATTTATAAGAACATTTGATGTCAAGAGTGTAAGCCTTCTGAGGGCAGGGGCTTTGTTTTGTTCATGCCATGTCTACACCACCTGAAACAGGGTCTGCCACATAGCAGGTGCTTTCTAAATAGGCATTTGACGATGTCCTGCAAGCTCTATGTCTTCTCTGTGCCTCTGTCTTTTCAAATGTAAAGTGAGGAAAGGGCTGTTGGGAAGCTTCTGTGAGTCCGTGTCTGGGAAGTGCTGAGACTAGCTGCCTATTTCAGAGTCAGTGCACAGGCGGCAAGGTTATTATGTGACGAATGGGTGTGTGGATGGATGGATGGATCATCACACTGGTAGTATGGAGGACTGGAGAGAATGCTTGGGCAGGTCATTACTGTTCCAGCTCAGCTCCCACCACCCACGATGAGTCCACGGGCCTTTTCCCCTCAGTTTTCTCATCTGGACAAGAAAGGGGGAGAGCCGCTCCATGGTGTAAAGCCTGTTCCCCTCAGGTAGGGAAGCTAGGATGCTTAGTGGTTAGGAGCCCTGGTTTCGTAGCCTCGTTGCTGTCTTCTTATCTGCAAAATGGAGATGGTTTCAGGCCTTTTGTGGGTATGGAAGGAGAAAACAACTGAAATTCAGCACAGTGCCAGGCTTCTGGTAAGGGCCTTAAAAATAGAAGCCACCTTTGCAGCTAGTTCAATCACTTGGGTGATATTTAAAATAATAACATTGCATTTGTTCTCCAAGTGTCTGTTTCATTCATTGGTACTCCTCCTCTGCTTGACAAGTCCTGCCAGGGAGAGGCTGCACCCTAAGTTCTGGTTCCTTGTTTAGACCATCTCTGATGTATCCTAAGAGGAAGAAAACCTCGCTGTCCTCTCAGTTGCCACCAGAGCTGTTTATACAAGGCAAATGTCACCAGGCCACTCACCTGCCTGTAAACTTGCATTTGCTTCCTGGGTCTTGTCCACATGACAATACCAGGGCACCTACTACCTATGCTACTATGCATAAGCACCTCTTGTTCCTCTCCCGCCTGAGCTCTGCACAATCCCTGCCCCTCTCTTATGATAGAGATAGAGCCTATCTACAACCTTAGAGCTGCGATTCTGAACTCCAAAACTTCTGAGACCATTTCACTTTTCATTTGATTGCAAGACCTGTCCTAACCTCAACTCTTTTGTAAGTGAAACTCTCAGTTGAGGCTCTCTGTGGTGTTTACTTCTCCCACTTGGAGTTCACATGAGCGAGTTTCACTACAGAACTTAATGCATTTAATTGTGGAATGCCACATCAGGCTCTGCTGGGATGGTGATCTTAAGTGCTTTGTATATGTGCCATGTCACATTTCTAAAATCTGGAAAATTCTGAATTTTGAAAATTGCTTGTCCCCCAAAGTTTCAGATAAGAAACTGTGGACCTGCATAATATAGTATTCATATCTGGAGCCAGACCAGCTACGTTCAAATCCAAGATGTGGGACTAGCTGTGAGACCTTAAGAGTTAGCCTCACTGAGCCTCAGTTTCTTCGCCTGAGGGGATGGTAATAGTACCCACGCTCCCAGGTTTGCTGTAGCATCACATAAGCTTATGTTACGTGAAGTACTTAGCACACTGCTATTGCAAGTTTTATTTTCTCCACCACTGCTGAACCAGGTCGATGTAAGTATCCTGTTAGGATCTCATTCCAAGGAGGAATCAAAGTTCAGGGAAAATAGCTATGCGTTTCACACCTTTTCACCCCCGTAGTTCTAAAGGTGGGGGACGCAAGGGTCCTGGAAGGTGGTTTTCCAAAGTGACCCCGTGAAAATCAATGTCTTTAAAGTTCCAGTTTCCTCCTTGGCTATGCTGCCTTCTGTTTCCTCCTGTATCTTTAGTGTTTGCAGCAACATCTTACTGTAACACTCACGCTCTGGGAACATGACCCTCGTTTGTCCCCTGGCACACAGCCGAGGACCCAGTTTTGAGGCCCTGAAACCCAATGACCCAGGACGTTGGCACATTGACCAGGACGCTTCATTCTGGCACGAGCTTCCCTCTCGCCGCCCGCCGCCCGCCGGACCAAGACAGCGAAGCCCCTGCCGGCGAGGCCCCGCCCCCTTAGCACATAGCCCGCCCCTCCCGGAGATTGCCCCGCCTTCCGGACGCTCCGCCCACCGGGTGCTCAGGAGCATACTACCGCGTGCCCTAGTGGGGGTGGTCGGCCTGGCGCTGGCTCGCTCCCAGACTCTCTTGGCCTGCGCTCCTTCCCCCAGCTATGAGCTCTCTAGGCTTTCAGGGCTGCCTCCAGGAAGGCTGCCATGTTTCCCACGTCCGCCATCCCCTCCTTCTTCCCGCTGCGGGCCCGGAAGGTGGTACAGTCCTGGGGCGGAGCCTGCGGCGGCGGGGCGGGGCCTGCGGAGGTCGGACGGAACCC